TGTGGTGGATTCTGGAATACTGTATCTTGTCTATGAACAGAGGTACAGAGCAAAAGGAGCAAAAAAAGCAGGCCCGCCCCGGGCCTGCCGGGCCTTGCGAGAAAAGCCACTTTATGGTCTGTAACTTTGTTCATAGATAAGATACAGTATTCCAAATAATACCGTTTTGTAGTACTCGTGGAGCTCTATCATATCTGATTTAGTTGGTTCGAAAATATAGATTCTGAAAGAAACTATGGCAGAGCCCGCGAAGGCCCGGCAAAGGCCCGGATTACTCTCTCATCGTTCTTCTGTTGGTTGTGTTCTTTTTTCTTTTGAATATAATTTTGTCTATTTTCTTACCCGTTTCATTGTTTCATCGACTTTTCCCGTTTCATTGTCTCATCGACTTTTAAGATTAATTTAGTTGTTCCAGATGAATAGTAAAAGTAACAAATCACACAATGGTACCGAATTTCGATTCTATAAACCGAAAGAAGGCACACCACCATTGACGACGTCTTCAAATATATTGGGACCGGAGAAACGCGAAGAACTAAACGCTACATTGTTTTATCTGGATTCCACCGATATCCAAAAATTTAATGCAGATAATATGGAAGATTTAACATGTTTGGATAGATTTGTAGTAAGTGAAATGTTCATTTTTTAAACAATTTAAAAAACAATTCTTAAGGAAAACGTCAATCCTGACAAGAAATTCTACCTGCGCCACCTTCCGGTTCTGAGAAGTATGACTAACAAGGAGCCACGTTTTTTCTTGAAAGAAGTCGACGAAATAGTTTTACTTCTTTTGAGAAGATCATCGAATTCCAAAGAAGTAATATCAGCTTATTCTCCGGATGAAATCGTCCCTGAAACCATATCCCTCACTGAAGTCGAAAAAATGTTTGATGATTGTTTTCTGGATAAAAGTATGGTTATGGTAAGCCTAACAGAATATTGTTTTGCAGTTCTATGAGTAAAGTTTCAGGTAACACCTGACACTGAATATTCTCTACACAGTGACTGCCGCCTGGGGTACATTGAACAACTGTATTTCATGGATCGTCGAGAAAAACCATTCGTTTATCCAGCGCTAGCAGTTTATAAAATCTTCAACGAATGCGTTCTTGGACTAAATTGGACAACGAATACTTGCAAACTTCACGTTAACTGTAATGAGAACCGCAGGAAAAAAGTCATCGAGCTCATGAATAAGTATACAGGTTCATCGGTGAGTTTTGGTTTTTCAAAAGTAGGAACAACGAAAATTTTTTTAGATGAACCTGATTCCGTTGGAAATAGTAGACAGGGAAATTGTAAAATTGAAGGCAGAAGAATGTTTTTTTGGTCAACAAATAATATCCAGCAAGAAGTGGAACAACCTCTTAAAAGGGTTCAGGAACCATGAAATGTTTTCTACCAATCTCTACAAAACAGGCATCGATAATTTTCATCTTCCAACGAACGGACCGTTAGCAGAACTGCATAGTGCTCCAATACAAGGAATGAGGCTTTCACTTCTGGTAGGATGGATAATCCAGTTCATTGGACCCATTGACAAAGACAACGAACTTCTTGCAAATGTATTGGTTTCCAATTTGGAATTTGCAATCGAAAAGGATATTGAGAAGACTGTTGCGTTCATGGTTAGTTGTAACTTTGAGAAGTTTGAATGAAGTTTTCTAAGAATCTTAACATTGTACTTTGCAGAAAGATGAAGTGGTTGTTCGTGGAAAAGAAGGAACCAGAAAGCTGTTCAAGCCTTACGGAGCACAGGAAGATAATCAGTCAAGTGAGCGTTTCCTAATGATTCTTTTTAGAATAAAATCATTTTTAGAGTACGAAAAAATGGCAGAGAAGGCAAGACTCCGAAAGTTAGCAGTTCAGCAGAAGAAGAAGTAAAGAAAACTTTAGAGCCCTGGATAGTCAGTGGAAAGATTTATCTGATGAACCAATCGAGTATTCAGGATCCACGAGTACAGAAGAAATTGTGAGTTAAAAGAAAAGTTCTTATCTTCAATAAACATTTTTCTAGTGCCGTTCAATAGTTACCATCAAAGGACACAGATATGGTAGCAACTACTCATTGCTGAAAAATGGCCCAAGAGAAGAAAATCCACAAAAATTCTTTTTCATAGATATCGATGAATGGCAAAAGTTGATCGATATGGAGAGTATGATGGGTTTCGAATGGACAAAAGATGAAAAGTATCTGGAAGATCTCGAAAGTTTTGTGGTAGATTTGAAGGGACATAAGACCAATTAATATTTTTGATTATTTTCAGAAGATGACTGGAATTAAGAAATTTGTTCTTCGTCGTTTACAAGAGGAAAGATCAGATTCGGGAAGATTTTCCAGCTAGAAGAAGCAGTGGAGGTTGCGAGAATTTGTTTGGAATTGGAAGGAGCTGATCCGAACATGTATGATGAGAAGTTCTAAAAGTACTAAAATTAAAAAAAACAATCGATTTGTCTTTTAGGAATTCTCGACGCACTTGAGGCCGAGAAAAAAAGCTTGAACAAGCATGTTCGTAGATCACGCTCTATGCATGAGATCGAAGCAATGTACAATATACATAGGATTGACAAGAGTAACATTACAGTAAGTCATATATATCTTTGCGTCATACAAGCATGAACTATTGCAGGTGATTCCTGACTACGTAGAGAAATTGAGCGACACTTATTCGAACGAAAAAATTTGTTTGCCAATTATGACGATCGGTAGAAACGGAGAAGATTTGCTGAACATGGCTGAATCAGCACTCTACATTTTCGAAGAAGTGATATGCGGTGTTAATTGGATGAAAGCGATCAGAGAGAACGGTATCGACACTTATCGAGATTTCCGACAACTATTCGAGGCGATTTTGAAGCCTTTATTCTGCGAATGGGAGGTATGTGTGATTGTGCGATAATCTGACCATCCATTAATTTGTTTCAGGCATGCTACGTAGCCAAAAGTTGGCATGTCGAGTGCTTCCTCATACTAAAAACCCACAAGATATTCGAAAATCAAGATCGAGCTAACATTTTCTTTGTATTCACAGATTTTTCTTCTCCGGTTCCGACGTCCTATTTCAATGATCAATGTGAAGCTTTTGGTTTGCCACCGATGCCGGGAAATTTGCCAGACGCGATGCTCTGGGACGAAGCAAGAACACTTTTAAAGGTTGTGTGGGCGTGTCAGTACTTTCCTCGTCAAGAAAGATCAAAGAAACAAGGAGATACAGCAATGCAACGAGGAGTTATCATGAATGCAATGTTCTCAAGATTGCCTCAGGAAGCGAAACTTCATAATCATTTGGTAAGATTTGAAAATACACTTTTTCCCAGAACTCTTGGTCGTGACGATTTCGATCTCCTTGTTTAAAACTAAATCTTGAATTTTCAGGCAAATCTGATAACACACTGGTCGGAACCTCTTGAATCTGCCAGAGAAACAATTTCACATGAACCAACTAAACCAGGACGGATGCAAAGCCAACAAACAATAGACGAGGAAGCCAGGAGAGAACTAGACCGTGCCCTTGTAATGCAGAAGATGAAACAGAAGAAAGAGAAGAAGAATGCAAAAGCTGTTGATGCTCCTAACGCTTTGGAAAATTCTGGGGCACAGTCTAAGGATACAACTGTTGAATCTTCCAATTCTTCTCAACAAATCTCCAATAAGTCAGAAGACGTTCCTAAACCCTCAACTAATGAAGGTCCAGTTTCGAGTACGTCCGCAATCTCTAAAGCATCTTCACGATCTTCGTCGACGTCGACTTCGGAACAATGTTCCTCTCGAATACTTGTACCAGAAGATGAGGAGGCTGTGGAGAAGAAGACATTTGAGGATCAAGCGAAGAAAATGGTAAAGATGCAGAATCAAATCAAAGAGCTCAAGGAACAAATGAAACTGTTATCTGAAGAAAATGAGACACTGAAAGGTACGATTGAAGAAAGGAAGGAAGAAGACAGTAATAAATTGAGGAAGGCAGAGAAGGAATTGGAGAAGGAGAAAGAGAAGTTAGTTTGCAAGATAGAAGTTTGAAACGAATCCTTTTTTCTAGAACTGCCAGCCTAGAACAAGCGATCAAAGACTGGAAAGTTAGTTTGGAATTCATGGAGAAGAATTTGATTGAGGCTGGAGAGAAACGAGATGCAGCTAACGAGAAGTTAAGGAAAGCAGATGAAGAGTTGAGAGAGCAAACTGCAAAGTAAGTATTACAGGAAACAGACAGATCCTAAGACTTGTTAATTTCAGATCCAGAGAGTTAGAACTTCAGTTGAGAGAAGCAAACAAGGCTTTGGCGACGATGAATAAGGAGAAAGATATAGCAGTAGAAAGAGTAGTGAGGGAATGGACAGAACGATGGAATGTGGAACGTTATCAAGTCCAATTGGCACAGAATCGGTGAGTTTTTGGTAGATTGCGATTCAATCCAATGTAATACCTATTTTAATACTTCATCCTTTTGATTCCAGAACAGAAGAAGCCGAAAGCAAAGTCCGCCATCTCATGAAAGAGAAAGTGAAGCTTCTCGAAAAGAATCCTCAAGATGAATCGAACTTTCCAGCTCATGTAGCAACGTACAATAAAGATATTAGGAAGCTGAGACAGTTGTTGAAAGAGTAAGTTTATTATCTTCAAGAAAGTTGAAAATATAACATTGTCCAGAAAGGAAGATCTCATTCCACACCTTCAAAAAAGGATTCAAGATCTCTCCAATCAACCAGGCCCGTTTCCGCAAACTTCTGAGGATCCGAATAGCTATTTAGAGAGGATTCAGAACATGTTAGAAGTTATAAATAGAGACGATTCAGTTGAAGAGAAAAGAGTGAGAATCTCACGGTGAGAAGTTTTCCTGAAATTTCTAGAAGATGAAATATCATTTTTTAGTCTTCTCACGAACACGGATTCGGCTGAAACAAGACAAATCTCCGTCCTCGAGGAAGATCTTTTTGATGCTTCAGTAACGATGTATCGAGATACATTGAACTATAATATATTCAAAGTCCAGGTACAGCACCTTTCATATTTCTAATTCTGGAACTCTTTTTTTTCAGCAGACGCAAAGCATTGATGGTTGTCAACCGATTCCTTGCTATCCGGATCTTTCTCAGAGATTCTTGGATGCTGAAAATAAGGAAAGAACGAAGGCGATGTTCGGAGAAGGAGACTGTGCAATTTGTTTTGAAAAAATTGAGGATCTTGAAGAAAAAAGGACCTGTCCTAATGAAATATGCGGCCTCAAATATCATGCAAATTGTATTTTGAAGTCTATTGAAACTAGGTCTCTGTGTCCGTACTGTAAGACTCCTTATTTTAATGCTGATGACTTCCCAGTTTTGTCTTAATGATATCTAACATTATTCTTTTTGTGTTCTCACTGGTTCAATAAATATCCGTTTTTTCAGTTTTTTGTTAGACCTCAACTTAAGTGTTTTTAGCCAAATGAAAAATTTGTCCTCGTCTTGTTGAAACCTATTTTTCCACTGCAACACCGATGTCTCTCCGACCCCTATCAGCATTTTTATGTATCTTTTTCTTTTCAATCACTCTATGCCTCTTTCTCTGCGTATCTTTCTTGACCATCAGAATGCAAACTCGCTCTATCTCTCACAGATTTCTTCCGTCAGTTTGGTTCTTTTTTCTTTTGAATTTCATTGTTTCTCCTCGTGTTTCAAACCTAATGTAATTGTTTCAGATGAATCGAAAGAGCAACAAAAAACACAATGATATTCAATTTCAATTTCTTGAATTGAAAGAATCATCATTGACAACGTCATCAGATTTACTCGAAAGGAATGGAGGCGATGAACTAGACAGTACAATGTTTTATCTGGATTCAATCGATATGAAAAGATATAAAGGAGGTAGCATCGGAGATTTAACATGTTTGGATAGATTTGTAGTAAGTGGAATCTTTCTTTATTCTTACTTATTTCAAAACCAATCATCTAGAAAAACGTCAACCCTTACAAGAAATTCTACCTGCGCCAACTGCCGATTCTGATAAGTATGACTAACAAAGAGCCACGTTTTTTCTTAGAAGAAGTCATTGAAATGATTGCAGTTCTATTGAGAAAATCATCGAATTCCGAAGGACTTGGTGAGTATTTCTGAAAATTTTCGAAAACTTCAGAAGTGGTTATAGACTTGCTGATGCCTGTTGCGCTTCTGATTCTAGAATAATCAAACACTAAAATAGTTCAGAAATACTCGGAAAGTATGAAGATGAAGTGTTGGCTAGTTCCCCGAATGAAACCCTCCCCAGAGTTGTGACTCTCACTGAAGTCAACAAACTTTTTGAAGATTTTGATATCGATAAGGGATTGGTTACGGTAAGTGTGTAACAGGATATTCAAAGTTCTATGAATAAAGTTTCAGATAACACCCGACGTTGTATATTCTAAAATCACTGACTGCCGCCAGGGATACATTGAACAACTACAGTTTTTTGATTGCCTAGGAGGACGATTCGTTTATCCAACACAAGCAATTTACATTATCTTCAACGAATGCGTTCTTGGACTAAATTGGACAACAAACACTTGTAATAAGCACCTCAATTGTATGGAGAAATGCAGAAAAAAAGTTATGGAGTTTATGAATAAGTATACAAGCTCTTCTGTAAGTGCTGAGTACTCAATAATAGATAAAGTTTAACGTTTTTTAGATGAACCTGATTCCATTGGAAACAGTTTTGATGGAAATTAAAGAATTAAAGGAAGAAGAATGTTATTTTCATCAACAAGTCGATATCAACGATGTGTTAAATCTTGGGGTCACCAACGGTTATAATCCATTGGATTTCTACAAAAGAATCATCAATCTTTTCCATCTTCCGAAGAACGGACCTTTAACAGAATTGCATTGTGCTCCGATACAGGGAATAACACTTTCATTTATGCTCGGATGGATAATCCAGTTTATTGGACCTATTGACAAAGACAACGAACTTCTTGCAAATCTATTGGTTTCCAATATGGAATTTGCGATTGAAAAGGATATTGAGAAGACCGTTGTGTTTATGGTCCGTACTCTATGTGGCTATTGTGCCGCTTCAAATATATATTTTGGTTTTTCTACGGACTTACCAGACTCCTTTAAAGTCTACGACTTTATTTAAATTTTCGAGTTTTAAGGCTCTCGAAACTGTTCCGTTCTGCATTAACAAATTACATTTTCCAGATAAACGAGGTGGTTGTTCGGGGAAAAGAAGGGACCAGAAGAATATTCAAGCCCTACGGAGCACAGGAAGAAACTCACGTTCAATCGAGTAAGAATTTTCTCATGACTTTTGTAGTTTTATGTGGGGTTTTATTATAGTGTTTACAGTGATTAAAACGGTAATTATGGTGTGAAGTAATTTTCAGAGTACGAAAAAATGGCCGAGAAAGCAAGACTCCGAAAACTGGCTGTCCAGCAGAAGAAGAACAAAAAAGGAGGCAAACAGAACCCAGTGACAGAAATTGATGAAGTCCATGGAGCTCAGGATAGTCAGTGGAAGGATTTATCCGATGAACCAATTGAATTTAAGGAATTCAAGAGTACAGAAGATATTGTAAGTGAGAAAAAAGTTTGTTGTGTTCCATAAACAATTTTCTAGCGCCTTTCAACAGTTATCGTCAAAGGACACAGATATGGTAGCAACTACTCATTGCTGAAGAATGGCCCAAGAAAAGAAAATCCACAAAAATTCTTTTTCATAGATATCGATGAATGGCAAAAGTTGATCGATATGGAGAGTATGATGGGTTTCGAATGGGCAAAAGATGAAGACTATCTGGAAAACCTCGACAGTTTTGTGGTAGGCTCAAAGGCACATAAAAACGATTGATAGTTTTTATTCTTTTCAGCAGATGACTGGCATTAAGACATTCGTTATTCGTCGTTTACAGGAGGATTACAAGAGCGCAGAGGATTCTGGACGATTTTTCCAATTCGAAGAAGCGGTGGAGATCGCTAGCATCTCTTTGATATTGAAAGGGGATGATCCAAATAAGCATGGTGAAAATTTCTGAAATCCAAAAATGATTTTTAAAAAAACCGATCAATTTGACTTATAGGAATGCTCGAATTTCTTAAAGCCGATCTACAAGGCTTAAACAAACATGTTCGTAGATCACGCTCAAAGGATGGGATGGAAGCTTTGTTCCTAATAAATGGGATTGAAAAGAGTAGCATTACAGTAAGTCAACTCTACCTTTGCGGTATATTCATTGTTTTAACAAAAGAATCTTAAATCTACAGACATGAACCATTTCAGTTGATTCCTGATTTCGTGGAGAAATTGAGCCAAATTCATGCTAAAGAAAACATCTATACCCCAATTACAACTATCGGTAGAAAAGGAGAAGATTTGATGAACATGGGTGAATCAGCTCTATACATTTTCAAAAATTTGATATGTGGTGTTGATTGGTTAGCGGCGGTTATGACAAACGGCATCGACGCTTATGAAGACTTCCAACAAACATTCGAGAACACTTTGAAGCCTTTATTCTGTGAATGGGAGGTACGTGCCTTTCTGAAACAATCTGAAAGGGTGACCCCAACCGAAAAAATTCATTGCATTGAAATGTTTTTAAAGTTATCTATCTTCCCAATATTATTGCGAACAAATTCAAAAAAAATATCCTGAATAAGGTTTCAATTGGATTACAATAGGGTTTGGCTGCGGGGCGAAAAGGGCCGATCCCCGCCCCACAAGGCAAATCTTTTATGCGTAACTGCGCGTCGGCAATTTTCAAACTTGATTTTCTCTACTCCTAGGAGGTTTTAGGACTTGAAACTTTTTTTTAGTATACTTGAAATTATGCGGAATTTCATATTTCAAACATTTTCTACATTTTCAAAAAAAGTTTTTCAAACTCGGAAACTTGAGCCCACCGAAAATCTAGGCAAATTTTGAAACTTCCCAAAACTTTTCCGAAAACACATTTTTTAAAGAAAATGTTTGAAATATAAAATTCCACATAATTATATGTATAATACAAAAAAGTTTCAAGTCCTAAAACCTCCTAGGAGTGGAGAAAATCAAGTTTGAAAATTGCCGATTTCACACTGAAAATGGGATTTTTGGCTCTGAAACTGAAATTTCAGCACTTCAAAGGTCTCGTAAGCAGACTTTGAAAACAAATTTATAGGTTTTCGACGATGCTCTTTCGATCTATGTAGGTGGTTTCTGCTTCCTATTACCTTCAATTAAGGTTCACTTGTAAGAAAATAGATAATTTTTAAAACACTTTGATGCAATCAAAGTTTTTGGTCGGAGTCCCCCTTTAATATACACTAACTCATTTCAGACGTCCTACGTTGCCAGAGACTGGCATGATGAGGTCATCACCAAGCTAAAGAGCCACAAAATATTCGAAAACCAACCTCGAGCCGATCTCAACTTTTTCGAAGGCTTTTCCAAGGGTTCTCTGGTTCCAATGTCTTATTTCAGTGATCAATGTGAAGCCAACGGTTTGCCGCCGATGCCGCGGATGCTTTTGTCAGACGAGATGTTAGTCGACGAAGCAAAAGTGCTTATGATGATTGTATGGGCGTGTCAGTTTTATCCTGATCGACAAAGATCAAGAGAACAGGGAGACAGAGCAATGCAACGAGGAGTTATCATGAATGCAATGTCCGCAAGATTGCCACAGGAAGCGAAACTACATAATCATTTGGTAAGGTTTGAGAAGACTCTTTTTCTCTTTCCTAAAACTCTTGAATCGTCAGCCGCTGGCGTCGACCGCATAGCTCTGCTATGCATGACATATTAATTCTGAAAAATTCCAGGAAAATCTGATAACACACTGGTCGGAACCAGGACGGATGCAAAGTCAACGAACAGCGGACGAGAACATCGAAATGTTGAAAGAAATGTTCCTCAACGCACCGAGGCTTTTCCATTCGACAATGTCTGCAGAAGAATCTGCGAAAACTTCCGATTCTTTATTTGAGAATCTTAAGAGTAGTGGTGGAAGAGCTTTGAAGGCATTTGAATCTCAAAAAGGGTCATTGGAGAAGAGGAACAATGCACAAGAACCGAACAAGGGGGTCAAGGACAATTCAAAAAAACAATTTTCCAAGATGTCAAAAGACGTTCCTGAAAACTCAACAAGTGAAGGTCCAGGTTCAACTACGCCTCGGCAAAGAAAGTCAAAGACGACCACAATATCTAAACAATCTTCACGATCCTCATCGACGTCCACGTCGGAAGCATGTTCTTCTCAAACACTTGTTCCAGAAGGCCTTGAGAAAAACCACGGATTATTGGACGAGAAGACTATGGATAGGAATAAGAAACAGAGAAAGGAGAAAAAGAATGCAAGAGGTGATGAGGCTCCTGACGCTTCAGCAGAGTCTAGAGCAGAATCTAAGGATGCACCTGCTCAACTTTCGGATCCTTCTCAATCTGTACTTGAAAATGCTAAGAGTAGTTCTGGAAAGATTCCGAAGCAATCGAAACACCGCGAAGGATCATTGGATAAGACAGAAAAGGCAAAAGGACCGGATAAAGAAGTTGAAGCTAACTCCAAAAAAACATTTTCCAAGCAATCGAAAGGCATTCCTGAATCCTCAAAAAATGAAGCTCCAGGTTCAAGTACGTCTCTTCAAGAGAAATCGAAGACATCAGCAATATCTAAAGAATCTTCACGATCTCCATCGACGTCCATTTCGGAACCATGTTCCTCTCAAAGCACCTTTCCAGAAGGTGAAATTCTGAAGAAAATTCGCGGCGGTTTTGATGGGGAGACTATGATGAAGAAGAAATTTCCTATTCTAGACAATAGTGAATACAGAGTCGTCGGCAATAATTTCATGGAAAAGATAGAGCATCAAATAAAAGGGCTAATGGACCAAGTAAAACAGCTATCTGAAGAAAATGAGACACTGAAAAGTTCGATAGAAGAAAGGAAGGAAGAAGACAGTAATGAATTGAAAAAGGCGAGGAAGGAATTGGAAAAGGAGAAAGAGAAGTGGGTTTGCAAGATTAAAGTTTAAAAATAATTCGTATTTTTCTAGAACTGCCAGCCTAGAACAAGCGATCAAAGACTGGAAAGTTAGTTTGGAATTCATGGAGAAGGATTTGATTGAGGCTGGAGAGCAACGAGATGTAGCTAATGAGAAGTTGAGGAAAGCTGATGAAGAGTTGAGAGATCAAACTGCAAAGTGAGTATCAGAGAAACAGCTGGACCCCTAGACCAGTTAATTTCAGGTCCCGAAACTTGGAACAGCAGTTGAAAGAAGCAAACAAGGCTTTGACGACAATGAATAAGGAGAAGGATAGGGCTGTAGAGAGAGTAGTAAGGGAATGGACAGAACGATGGAATGTAGAGCGTCATCAAGTTCAATTGGCGCAGAATCGGTGAGTATCTGTTTTTGGAATGTTCTTTAGGGACACTAGTTACCGGTAGCAAGTAGCTTGTCTGTCAAATGTCGGAGAATAATTATGTTTGAAATTTAAATTTCAGTGGGAATTACACAAAGAAATTTAGAATTTCAGAGATCTAAAAATTACTCAAATGAACTAAATAAATTAAATAAATACAATTTGTACATCTTGACGGATTTTACTTTTTGATTCAAACAGAAATTAGCCGAGTTATGCCTGTGAGTGATCAGTCCGAGTCGCTTGAAAAGTATAACTTCGATTCCAGGACAGCTGAAGCTGAAAGCAAAGTACGCCAACTGATGAAGGAGAAAGTGAAGCTTCTCGAAAAGAATCCTCAAGATGGATCAAACCTTCCAGCTCATGTGGCAACGTATAAGGAAGATATTAAGAAGCTGAGACAGTTATTGAAAAAGTAAGTTCATTGTTTCAAAGACAGTTTAGGAAATAACATTCTTTAGAAAGGAAGACCTCATTCCACACCTTCAAAAAAGGATTCAAGAGCTCTCCAACCAACCAGGCCCGTCTTCCCAAATCTCCGAGGATTCCAATGGCTACCTAGAGAGATTGCAAAACATGCTGGAAATTATAAATAGGGACGATTCAATTGAAGAGAAAAGAGTGAGAATCTCGCGGTGAGAAATTCCCTCGAAACTTTCATAAATCAAAATATCTTTTTTTAGGCTCCTCACCAACACGGATTCTGCAGAAACCAGAAGTCTCTGCGTTCTGGAAGAAGATCTGTTCGATTCTTCGGTGACCATGTATCGAGACACATTGAACTATAATATCTACAAGGTTCAGGTACAGTAAACTTTCTGTTTCTGATTCAGAAATATTCCTATTTTCAGCAAACACAAAGGGCAGAAGACTGTCAACCGATTCCTTGCTATCCGGATCTTTCTCAGAGATTCTTGGATGCTGAAAATAAGGAAAGAACGAAGGCGATGTTCGGAGAAGGAGACTGTGCAATTTGTTATGAAAAGATCGATGATCATGAAGAGAAAAGGACCTGTCCTAATGAAATATGCAGCCTCAACTATCATGAAAATTGTATTTTGAAGTCTATTGAAACTAGGTCTCTGTGTCCGTACTGTAAGACTCCTTATTTTAATGCTGAAGATTTCCCTGTTTTGTCTTGAATTTCCACTTTTATGTTGTGTTTTACAAATGTGGTTCAATAAACTCGTTATTTATTGAATGTGACGAAATTAGAAATAAATTCAGATACAGGTGCGATTAATCCCGTCCACTTATCATATTTCAGAATAGGCTGAAAATCAGTCAAACGAGATTCTTTTCACATTTTTCAAACCTTTACTGTATTCGCCCACTTTTTTACTCTTATCTGAAACTGCTAGATATGTACATTGCTGGCATGATGTGATTGATGTATCCGTAGTTTCTGGTGTTCCTTATCTTTTCAGGAACGAAGAGTCTACGCGAGAAAGAGGACAGACAAAACGTATGGCTAATCAGTACAGAATGGTTGTAAGTGAAAGCTCTAAATTGATCATTAATTGGTTCAAATAGAAAGTTGGTATCTTTTACCAGTACTGAGAATAGACGGTGTGAGTGTGGAAGAAGTGAAACGTTACTAATTGTTAGTCGAGAGCCAGAACATCAACAAGGCGTACCAGATATGAAAGACAGTTTAGCGATTGATAATCGTTTTATTTTGAGCGTTTATTTGAGTAAAAATTTCGAAAACAACGACTTTATTGAATCACTTTTGTAGTAACACAATAGAAACACTTAAAGCTAGATTTAAGACAAAACTGGGAAGTCATCAACATTAAAATAATGAGTTTTGCAGCAGGCTTGTTCGAAAAAACAAATTCGGAAAATCGAGTTCTCGAATTTTTTCTCGACTTTTTTTTTCGGAAAATCGAGTTCTCGAATTTTTTCTCGACTTTTTTTTCCGGAAAATCGAGTTCTCGAATTTTCTCGAATTTCAATTAGTCAAAAATTACCAGTTTATTTGACAAAAACAACAAAAACAACAAAAAGCACAAAAATGAAATGGAAAACAATAAATTTGTGCCGGAGTCTTTCTGCTCGTTGAAGAATCGGTTGCAAATATTACACTTTTTCCTTCCATCCGCCAGATTTGTCAATACCGCTGAATATTTTCCCATGTTTAGTCTGAAAATTTCGTTAAATTCAGACAAAGTTACTCACTGCAAAACCAACAATTTTAAGAAAAACTTTTGATGACCTAAAGTCTGAAAAAAACCAAGTGTTTTCAGTGAGAGAAGGTAAAAAATCACTGAAAAATAAAAGAAGTCTATTAAGAACAGTATAAACCGAAAAAAATGTTGAAAAAGTAATGAAAACCCTGATTAAAGTATGTTTTCATTCAAAAAAAATTAATTTAAAAAAATTCCCCTTAAATCGACCCCGTAAATCGACACCGATTGCGGGTCTCGCCGCGCTTGGGTTACTGTTGCACCCGTTTCAACTATACAAAGTAGAGATTTCCTCTTCACTTTGAACGCAGCATGATTATTTCGAGAAAAAAATTTTCCGAATATTTTTCGGAAAATTTTCCGACGGAAAAAAATTTCCGAAAAAAAATTCGGAAAATTTTCCGTCGGAAAAAATTTTCGGAAAAAATTTTCCGAAAAAAAATTCGGAAAATCGGAAAAATCAAGAACTCGATTTTCCGATTCCGACCAAGCCTGTTTTGCAGTATGGGCATAAAGCCTTTGTTTCGATAGATTTTAAGATACACTTCCCGTGATATCTGAGAGCGCATATTTCATTTGGACATGTCCTTTCTTCATCGTGCTCCTCGATTTTTTCAAAACAAATTGCACATTCTCCTTCTCCAAACATCGGCTTCATCTTTCCCATCTTTTCAGCATCCACGAACCTCTCCGAAAGACCTGGGTAGGAAGGAATCGGCTGACACGCCTCATTGCTTTGCGTCTGCTGAAAAAAAGAGGGATTCCACAATTAGAAACACAAAAGGTACTGTACCTGGACATTGTATATGTTAAAGTTCAATGTATCTCGATACATTCCCACCGACGAGCCGAAGAGATCTTCTTCCAAAACGCAGAGATTTTTCGACATTTTCCTGTTTCTGGAATCTCACAATTAGACTTTTATAATTTATATATGGTATTGCGTCTTTGACAAAATTTATCTTGATTCCTGTAATATATATCAAAAAGTGGTTCGATATCTTTCACAGAAAACGAGTACTTACGGAAGTTATACAAACGCCTAAAGGAATTGAACTAGAGGGGAAACAACTGAAGGTGCTGCGCCGCCACCGGCTTAGCTTCGCCGTCGCAGCCAGTGTTCATTCTGTTAACTATAAGCTTATTCATCTCGCTTACTGTAAAAGATATCAAAAAGTGATAAACTAACGAAATGTTTCCCGTAGCATCAAAAATGTTTCGCTAGTTAACTTTTTTTAAAGCTTTCACAGGAATCGAGATATATGCATGTTATCCAGTTGTTAAGGCACAGTAACAAAACTTGGTTCAATTCTATTGAAATTTAGACCGATTCAAAGCGAATTGCTTGAATACAAATTGTTCGGGTAAAGTTAATATTGCTGAAGAAAAAAGTAAGTAGAATATTACAGAAAGTTGAGACAGCGAAAACTTTCAAGAATTTGGTCAATTTTGAAAATAAAAGAAAAACATTTTAGATCAGCAATTCCTAGGCAAAGTTTTGTCTTTCTTTTTTTTTAATGACAAACCTTGAATTATTGTTTTCAGATCAGATTCTTATGAATTTGATATGAATTTCTTGCACCAAACTCATTGTATTTGTTATAAAAATTTATTGAAACTTCGGTAAAGTAGAAAAAAAATTAGATAAGCAATTTTAAAGGCAGTAAAATATCAATGCTATTGGTGAAAGTTGAAGGGGAGTAGAGACAGAAAAAGGAGGATTTCATCGTGGTTAAAGATAATTTTTTGTATTTTTTTTTCAGGAAAGAAAGGAAATATAGAAACAGGAAAGGAATGTCTATTTAAAAATCGGGGGAACGTTGCCTGCATTTTGTTTTGTCGGTGTTGGCTATCAATTGAAAATGCAGAATTATTTGGGATATCCTTTATACTCTCTTTCTTGCTAATTTTCAATAAAGGACAACCCAAAAAAATATAGGGGGTAAAACAGGGGGGGGGAGCATCTGCGATATTGCTCCACTGAAACTCAAAGGAACTTTCTAATATTCAGTGGAGCGCAATTACAGATTTCAATGATTATAGGAAAATATGGAAGATATATTGTGGGGGAAAAACATTTTCAAAAACCTAATGAGCTGGATTAATAGTAAAAACGGGTTCATCAGCCGGTGCTTCGTTTGACAGTTCAACGTGGGTTCGTCGGTGATTCAGAATCGCTTTCAGCTCGTCGCCAGTGTGTGTTCGGAACTGAAAATGGAGGATTATAGCATTTGAACAATAATGATATGCTTGCATATATGCGTATAACATGAAGATGAAACAGAAATTAAAAAATAAAGCCTAAAGAACCTGGGTTAGTAGAAAATGACGAAATTTTAACTTCTACGAAATATATTAGATTTTGTTGGATCAAACTGAAAATTTGAGGATGTACTAAACAATAATAAAACTTTAATTTCAACCAATGATGCCCGAAACATGGCCGCGGTCTTCGTTTTGGTTAAATTTTAGAAAAAAATTTGTACACTACAAAATGAAATCTCTATTTTTGTCCTGTATATTCTGAAATTTTCAGTCTTATCCAACAAAATCTGCTATATTCTGTAGGTGTTACAAAATTGACAATTTTCCACAAAAATGAGTGAATTTAATTAATTTTAGCCAGTACAGTAAGCCATTATTTGTTAGGCTGTCATTACCGAGAATGGCAAGGATAGACTAATCAAAAAACGAACACTTTAAGTGAGCAGCAATGATTCAACAAAGTTCCTATTTTTCTTAACAAGAAGGTGAAACAGAGTTTTTTATCGAAAAAAGAAACGTTGACCCAGTTTATTTCGTATCCTATAAAAGATATCAAAAAGTTGTCAACTAACAAAATATTTATCATAATATTAACAACATTTCATCAGTTGACCACTTTTTGATATCTCTTACAATAACCGAGATAAATTGGTTTCTCACTCACCCCACTCCTCTTCTTCTGAACCAACAATTGACTGTAGAGATATCCACCCTCGTCTCTTCCACAAGCTTGTTGAAGATGAAGTTTGGATAGGGAGAACAGGTTGGCACCGTCTTGACCATCCAATAGGTCAATTACTCTGTAAAAACGAAATCTATGGAGAAGAGCAGCATTAAAATAGATGAAAATGTTTAATGAAATTGTTGAAACTGGGAAAAAAATTTTATAAGTTTTCGTCACTTTGAGCTCATTTATCTCAATTTCTGTGAAAGATATCAAAAATCTGCCAACTATAAAAGTGTTAGTGATATTATGATAAACATTTTATTAGTTGACAGTTTCCTGATATTTTTATGGGGGGCGGAGATAATTGACCTCAAAGTTCAAGTATGCTGTTTTGTTCAAGGAAGCATAAAGACGGCATAATGAGATTTAAAAAACATGTACATTTTTATGAATTTGGTGTAACAATGAACTAACACTATGACAAGTTATCAAGATTTCAATTTTTCAAGAAATTCGAAATTGTGGTTTTGAATCTCTAGGGTGACAACAAAAAACAATAAAATCAAAAAAATGAAAAAAAGTTCACTGTTATCTGGAATTCTGGGGAACTGTAGTTAAAGTTGATAAGGCAATGATGGCAATTTGAACAGTTATTTTGACTACTCAAATCCCTTGATCCCGTGGTCAAAGCATCAGAAGTGCCGGCTGACCTACGCGATCGGAAAATTGAAAAAAAATTTAGCGTTTTTGAAACATTGAGACTGACAATAATTGCTCTTTCTTACCATAGGAGATAACCCTAATCCTAAAATTCTCAATTTTCAATATTGTTACGGATCAAACGAACCCAACAGTAATATATAATTTTACAGGTTTCACAAACTTTTTGAAACTGAGAAAATTTCATCAAGAGTTTTTTTTCGTATTTTCACAGAAATTAGTATTCAATTAATCTATGCATTACGAAATTTTTATCATTGATAACACCACTTGTAAAGAAGCTTAATGTTGTTTTTAAGCCTATTTATCAAACCACCAGAACTAGAATTGTTCACTGTTTCACAACTGCTATATTTCAGATTCTGTCACCAAATTTCGTTCCACCTGACAGTTATATTACATTCTCAAAATCTACCCCTACCTCGGTGAGAATCCCTTCTCCTGTAACCAACGATGGACGTCTTCTGGAGAAGACTTCTCGTTGATGGCCACCCGTGTAGCTCTCTGCATTGATGGTCTCAATATCTCGCCGCCCGTTTTTCCAAGTGTGTCGCTCATCTCGGCGACGAGTTGGGGGTCTGCAAATTATGCTAAAGTTTTTATATTCTGTTTCATGGGCTAGATTAATTTTCAATTGTTTTCTGTGAAGTAATAGTTCAGCTTTACATTTACTATCAAATCTTCAGAAATCCAAAGGAACTTTTCACAATATGCAAATTTCACTATGATCAGCACCAAGGCCCATACTCCAGGGGTACATCGAAATAGGGTACATCATGCTCAGGGGGTACATTGACTGAAAATTATATCTAGGTAGTAGATTAACCTAGAGATTAATATTTTTAGGCTGAAATTGGCCTAGATATAGCCCTTGATAATGAGACAATTACCTAGATGCACCCCCTGAGCATTATGTACCCTCGACGTACCCTCTTTTGATGTACCCCTGGAGTATGGGCCCAGCACCAATTTTTTTGAGCTTGCTGTTTCATCAAATCGATAAAACACTAGTTTTTCAAATCAAAGATTCAAAAATCTTTTTGTCTAAAATCTCACTCTGAAGTCTTGTGTAAATTTCCAATTGGGGACGAGGTTTCGGTATTGGCTGGTAGATCACTTGTTGTTGTTGTTGTGGTTGTTGTTGCTGCTGAAAATTCCAATAACTATGATAACTCGGCAAACGCGCAATGTGAAGCCTCTAATGAAATGATCTAGAAAAAATGAGCAGACGTAACTTGTGACTATATAAGTTTATACAGAAAATGAAACAGCAAACATTTTGAAAGTTGAGCGTTTCAAAAAATTTCACTGTTTTAGGAGTCCTATATATCCATAACTTTCTGAGTGTTAGAAAAACCATTGTTCCATAGTCAGGTACACTTTTTACCTGACATTGAGAAATATCTCATTTTTCTATAGAGAAGGTTTGCAGATGAGCAACATAGACTGTTTCGAAATCAATGTATCGTTACTATTTTTTAAGAAGAACTCATTATCTCTTTGAGATGCATTGTGAATTACTAGAAACATTCAGGTTTCCTGAATTCGGAAACCAGGCTGACCTTACAAAGAAATTCGCAGTTTCAAACTATCGTCAAAATTTGTTTGGTTTTTCCTGACTGTTTCAGATGCCTTAGGTGGTACAGGAATGCATGGTGCGTATTTAAACTTTCTAAATCTACTAAGCGTATTCAAATGTAATAATTTTCCAAATAAGATTTTCGAGTTCGCAAGATCTCATTCTCTAAACTCACTGGTCTCTGTTGTACTGGTCGAATCAACTCGACCGCCGATGGAGCGTGGATTGGTGGCGGTGGTGGTGGAGCAACAACTGGCATTGGAGGTGGAGGAATCGGTTTTTGATGAGTTTCGACTTGAATTCCAACATCTGATACAAGAGGCGTTGGTGGATTGTAGGCCGGTGTTGGGCGGACTGAAAATATTTCGGTTAGTAAGAATTACCTCATTTAATCCCATAGAAGTATAATAGAAGTATATCCCATAGAAGTATATACTCCGATGTCGAGCTTAATTATTATTTTAATTCCAATAAGAATAATTTTATTTTAATTCCAATAAGAGATATTGGAATTATTTCAGTTTATCAAATTTTGTTGGTATTATGACAAATCAGTTTGGTGTCTCTTATAGAAATTGAGTTAAATAAGATCAAAAATTACTGTTTCAAAGTTATCATTGTTTACACAGTCGATAAGCCAGCTTGTTCAATTTTCACCAAGAATATAAACAACGGTTACTGTTCCAGAAAGTTTGTAAGACTAGAAAGTTTGAAATGTTACTAATCGCTAATCTTCAATCCGCGTATAAATGAAACGTTGGAATCTATTAAATCTGAAATAACAAGCTTAACAAGCTTTCTTTTTTCTGAATGAACTAATTGCACGACTGTAGGTAATCGAATGTAAAAATAAGGAATCGGAATAGTTATGGCATTGATCTTTTAAGAAAATAATACTGTTTCATAATAGTCATGAAACTTATAATTATGGATTCTGGATAATCATTGAAAACTAATGTACACAATATTTCAAAATTTGAAGCTGTTTTTTAAACACATTCATAGTTTATCTGTTCAGGAGTTTTTGAATTATTGATTTCCCAAATGATAACAGTATTCTATTTTCCAGAAGTCAGAATTTTTGAAAAAAAAATGCTCTGTATTATTTTTTTTTTTCACCAGAAAATTTCGACTGTTTTCTCTACTTTGTAAAAATTAGAAAAATTCGGAATATCAAATTTTTGAAAAATTTGAAAAAAACATTCTAAAAACTGGGAATAATAAGACACGGTAAAACATAGACTAATTAAAAGATTTCTGGGTTCCGTAGGTTTATGATAATAATGAAATAGCAAACAAGTTTTTTTTTTAAACATGTAAAACAATTTTTTTCAAATAATGTACTATTCAACATTCACTAACTTTTTTCAACTCTTGGATTTTTTTCCCAAATTTTCAAAACTTTAAATTTTTGAAAACAAATTTCCTTGTTTGCTTCTTTCGATTGAAAATAGTATTTTAAAAAAACTATATTTTAACTTGCTGGAACATAAATGTTCTTTTTTTCAGATATTTTGAATTTCGGTTTTCTGGAACTGCATTTTTTCAGACGTGTACACAAACAAAGGTAGAATTCAAATAATTTATGATTACAGCAGATTACAACAAAGATATATAGATTTCCAAAAAATTATATAAAATTGATGAAAATAATTAAATGATCTAGGTAATTGAAAAGATAATTCTTCTTTCTCGGTTATTAATTGAAAAATATCACAATTTGATAAAAAATTTCAGCGGATCGGAATCATAAATTATCAGAATATATATATAGGAAATAGGGGAAAAGAAAAACTGAAACAAAGACAAGAGGACAATTGACAAATAATTTTTAGTGCATTTTTTTTTCTGGAATAAAATCACATTTTTTGAGCAAATATACGAAAAAACAGGAAAGGGAACATGCATTTTGGCAACTTTTTAGATCCAAAAAATTGGAAAACAAAGGGGAATTATATAAAAGCATAAATATGTATAAAAATACAATGGCACACTAAACGGATGGGGGAAGAGAGAGGAGGTGAGAAATAGTATGGATATAGTGGAGAGTGATAAGAGAGAAAAAGAGTTTCTAGAAATAACGGAACTCTCCGCGTTTTCCCTGTCGCTCTTTGACATAGGATGGAGCGTCTTCTGGAAGCATACCTGGACCCTGATGATGGCCATTATTGTAGACGTTGGATGAGGTGTTGTTGTGGTTGGGGGACTGGAAAAAATTCTATAAAGTACTGTTTTGAAATTCTCATAAATGAGATTGAATTTATTGTCTTAGATTTTTATTAATTCGACATTGGAATTTTGTCTGACACATGAGTTTGAACTTTTCTACTTGAAAATTGTCAAGTTTAGATACCTAATAATCATGGTACAACTTTTGGATGAGACTGAATATGTGAGAGTACACAAAACAAGAATAGAGCTTCATTTCTGTAGTTGACAACTTTTCTTTACTGAATTATTTTCAAAACATGAGATTTTCCGCTTAAAACCAACCAAGTGTCAAAAGGGGGAAAATTTCACAAAAACTTTCATACATAGCATACGTTTTATCTCGCTTAGAGGAAATTTCCCTAAAAAGTTGCCAACTACGAAATTAAAACTTTTTTTTTTTGTTTAGCATTCTCTGAAATTTTCAGTCTTATCCAAAAAACTCAACTATAGCTTTTAGACATCTAAAGTTTACCAATTTCATCCAATATAAGAAAAATTAATAATCGTTATTCCTAAGACCCAACGGATATTCTTCGAATTTTTGAATTTTTGAAATAGTTGTGAAGCAGGAAATTTGTTTTTCTAATTTAAAACGTTTGTTTGAGGAGCCTAATAAACCTAAATGTTCGTTAAAAATAACTTTTTCGGTTCCATAAAGCAAGTTTATGTTTCAGCATTCCCGAACTTCTGATCGTGTACATTTTCCTCATATTCAATTTGAAAGTTTTTAATTACTCTTACCGCATATTGTTGTTGTTGCTCAAACGGCACCATTGACAAAATCGTATGTGGAACATATCCAACTCTCTGATGCATGTTCTTGCACTCCCACCAGTTACGCTCGTCGAAGAGCACCTGAAAGTTAGCAATAGAGCGTATTCGCGAGAGCTAAGCTGAAAACCTAATTAAAAATCTAGCTGAAATTCGAGCTAAAAATCTAGATAGAAGTTTCCAGACTCACCTCCAAATACTCTCCCTTATGAACAGTCAACTCCTTTGCATTCTGTCCTGGTCTCTCATACGTAACCACTGCCAACTTTCCACCTCTTCCAACAACGTCATCAATGAATGCTTGTTGACGTGGCGATGTATCAGAATCTACCGTAACCTTGACGTGTGAGTAGTTTCCAGAACGAAGCGGTGGTGGAGACGCCGAGATTGGAGGATCGTATCGTTTGGTGATTGGTTGATGGGGTATGGGGACCACTTCGGCCGGTTGGGCCGTCTCTTTTTTGATCAGGTCTTTTTCGGCGTGCATTCGGCGTTTCTCGTCTCTGAAATTAAAAATTTTACAGTTTCACAGACTCATAAAATGACGAAATGCCAGAAGTTCGTTAATTTTATGAGTTGGATTCCCAGACAACGAGACCTTCTAGCTGCCCGTGTCGCTTTCCTTTTCTCGATATACTTTAAAGGCGTATATCTTCAAAACTCAGCTTGAGTCCTTCGTAGCGGTAAATGCGCAACAATTGCTTCAAAAATTTCCTCCTAACAATTATAACATAGCAGGAACAGAATTTTTAGCTAATGTACTGAGCCCAAAAACTCACTCAATTTGCTTCTCTTCATGTCTAAGCCGATTCTCACGCTCCATAATTTTGGCTTTTTCGAATTCCAGTCGTTCGCGTTCGAGAGTTAGTCGATCGAATTCGAGCTGTAATTTTTAAAATTCAATTTAGAAAGTGCGCTTTAATGATAATGGACTTTGAGATAAATTATCTCAAAGTTCAAGCTCATGAGTTAAAAAGCCACATAGGAAAGAGGAAAAAAGGAAAGAAAGAAATTACATTATCCACACTCATATTCCGATGTGGTGGTCTGGATTTCGGGGTTCGTTGCATGGTTTGTGGAGTATTTGGAGCCTGAAAGAGAGGGATAGGATAGGGAAAATGAAGACGACGGACAATTTATAGGACAGGAAAAAGAGAACGTGCACAAGCTCACTAGATAAAACTGAAAGGTCCACTTACAGTATCCACCATATTTCTTTCTCTTGGCGCTTGACGATAGTGCTCTGGTGGTGCAGATTGTCCACGGTGGAGTGGGTTTGGTGTAGTTATGACACGATCCGCGACTCCGTATGGGGCGAAGCCGTCGAGAAAAATTGGACGATATGGTGGTGGAAGGGGTTTAGTCCAGTCCTCTCTGAAACACTCTATCTCAACTTTCTGATATTCTATGTTTCTTTTTTTTAATTTGGAAACGCATAACTCTTTTTTTCCCTTCCACTGTTTCAGATTTTCCATTTCCATTCAATAATTTCCACCTCTACAATTAAAAGTGGCTAATCCATACAGTAGAGCTGACTCAATTAAAACAATCATACACATTTTTTACTGATTGGAAATTCTAGTAATTTCCAGCTGCATAGGTGGATGTTATCAAAATGCAACAAACATTACTAAAAAAGCGACTTACGGTGGAGTTCTCCATGCTTCTCCCAAGCTCATCCACACGTCACTTTCTCTCGATGTCAAACAATTCTGCATGAGCTCTCTAGCCTCCAGTGATAGTAATGGAGAAGCAACAGTTGGAGCGATATTCCGACCCAATCCCCAATGACACGCCTCCAAAATCACTGACAAAGGGGTGAAAAGGAAATGAAGAAGTTCGGGAGCATTCGGCTCATGGATATGGTTCTTCAGCTTTGCCAACAAATTGAAAGAGAGTTTAAACTTTTTGAGAATGTCAACGAATTCGGATTCAATTGGAAGTTGAGCTCTCATGAAAAGGATCCCATTCGGGTCTGGTGGCTGTTGATTCTTCTTGTCACGACGATTCGCAGTACGGTATCTATGATTCTGTTGTTCGATTTCTCTTTGAGCCAGAGCTGCCGATTGAATGCGAGCCACAAATCGTTCAATGTCGTCGAAACAACGGTTTAGAGTATTCACATCTCGTTCGAACATTTCCGATGTTTCACTGCTGATCGACGCGTCGTCCGGTGGGTAGAATGGCATTTCTGGAACATTGAAATTAGTTCTGTTTCAGATTGTTGTTATAACAAGAATCGTAGCTAACGTTCTCAGTATGTTATAGCCTATCAAATCAAAATCAAAAATTAAAAGTGAAACTTTTCTCAATTTTTACTGTATCAAGTCCTGAAAAAATGCTTTTGAAATGTTTCAGTTACATTACTCTTTTCATTTTACTCGAGAGCCAAATATCAGAAAACCGCGCTAAGCTACACATTTGCCGCAGTTTTTCACACTGTCAACTTTAACCTTATTTATCTCGGTTCCTAAAAGAGATATCAAAAAGTGTTCAACTTTTAAAATTGTTATCATAATATCAAAAACATTTTATCAATAGACAACTTTTCGATGCCTTTCACAGGAATCAAGATAAATTGCGTCCAAATTTTCAAGCTTTTACAGTAACATAACACAACTCATGGTTATCCTATTGAAATTTATACTGATTGAAAGCTATTATTTTGAAAGTGAAGGTCGCCAGAAACACTATTATTGAAGAACCAAGCAAGCAGAATATTCCAAAAAGTTGAAAAAGTAAACATTTTTGAGACAGCAAATTTTCAATATCTTAAATTTAAAATGTTCCAAAAAATATTTAAATCAAAGCGCACACTTAATTTTCAAATAGATTAGTCCACTATAAACAGAGCTAGAGACTTTTGAAAAAACTTTTGACATCAACCACATCGGAATAAAGTTTCATAATGTTGATGTTTCGAAATCTGGTCATGTCAGTTTTAGTCTACTTGAATATTTGAAAAAAGAACTTCTAAAAATTTAGAGTCTAGCTTCAAAATGCGGGTATTGGAAAAACCGAAAAAAAATGCATTAAAAGATGAAAATTTTCGAAACTCAACTATCTGACACATAATCATACCATCAAAAAACTAAAAAATGAAATCAAATGATTCATTTTTCTGCAATTCGAGTAAACCAAGACGATAGTGCGATAAGTCTTTGGTTTTTTCCTGCCCATTCAAACAGGAATTTCTCTTTTCTCTTTATCAGAAAAAATGAAATCAAAAGTTGTATGTTTACTTCAAGGAAAAAATGGGTAGTAGAAATAAGGAAAAAATTTATCTAGGAAAAAAAGCTGAAAGGAAAATTCACTAAAAATTGAAACCCTGTTTCAGAATTACGAAATAAATTACCCAATTTTTTCTGGCAGTTTTGAAAATGCCGGTTCCATTTCGAAAATTAATAATTTTGGGCTATAAAAAAAGGAGATTTCGAAATACTTATCAGTTTCAGCTTGTTGTTTATTCCAATTGTTATAATTGAAACACCAATAAGAGAAGTGGAACCTTTAAACCAAAATGTTAATTTTTAATTTTTTTTTTCTATTTCACAAGTATCATAATATCCAGTTTTCGAGAATATATTGATTCAGTCTGCGTTGATTGTAACAGAAAATTCGAAAAAATCTGGGTGTGTTCATTCTTTAATAATGTCAGAAAAGTGAATGAATGTCTCATCAACTATAAGTCATACTTTTACTTCTAGGGTTTTTTCTTATCAACCAAAAAAACCCAGGTAATCCTTTTGGGATTTTTTTGGTGGTCTTTGTTGTGTAGTTTTAAAGTAAAGAGGATCAATTTATGACAAATCAGTAATTCTGGAAATCTCAAATCTAAAATCAATTTCCTGAAACTGTGAAATATTTTACGAACTTCGAAAAGAGTTCTAAAACATTTCAAAACAAAAGTTTTGGTTTGTTTCCGACGGCTCATCGGCGGCTCATTGGCGACCGACAACGATCCCGATCCTTCCAAAAATGTCCATCTAATTTTATAGTCATTAATGAAATTTTCAAGTTTTTTTTCCAGAAGATGAATCAATATGAATCAGAATTTTTGGAAAATCTCAAATCTAAACCGGAGAAAAGGTTCTCAAATACTTCAAAACAAGAATTTCGGTTCATTTTTCTTGTAGAACTCCAAAAAATTAAACGAAACTGCAATTTTTTAACGTTTCATAAATTTCAGAAATTGCACAAAATTGTTCTCTAAATATTATTCGCTTCATCTGTGATATTTCAACATCAAAAAATGGAAGAACGGCTCACCGGCGGCCCACCGGCGGCCGACCACGGTCCCAACTCTTTCCCCCACAATTTTACTTAGAAATATAACATCATTTTCTATCATTTCCTCCAACACTGTCCTTCTAATTTTATAGTCATTAATGACAAATGCAATGTATAAAGGAAACCCATAAAACTTTTCCTCTCCCTCAAATTTCACAAAATTTTCTTATATATTTCTATTTCCCTTTTGAACAATCTATGTATACAAATGTTTGCTTACATACCCATACATACATACAAATTCACTATCCACCGCCCGAAGGAAATGATAAGCAATTGGCGGGGGGTAAACAGAAAAATGAAGGAGAGAGAAAGAGGAAAATGTTGCCAAAAAGCCCTAATAAAAGAAAAACCTTTGAACTTACGATGTTGCTGAGCTTGAAGATGCGTCGGTGCGGCGATTCGTCGACCATTGCGTACACGACGGAACTGGCCGTGGATGTAGTTTTTGAGATCTTCGGCCACGTCCGTCGCGGAGACACGGATGCACTGAAAAAGTCAAGATTGGTTGAATTAGGTTAGATAAGTTTAAAGGGACATTATGGGTTTAAAGGACTACGGTTTTTTTTTGAACTGTGATTGCTTATTCAGAAAGTAGGTATAAATCCAGAAGACAAGTTTTGTTGGTCGGTAGCCGACTTCTTGGCAGCATAGCTCACGAATTTTCCAATAAGAAATTCAAACACTTGATACGTTTTAAGCGGTACTACAGTTTCCTGGTCTACTAACAACAGACACATGAAACAGAACTTACAGGTTAGTATGATTAGCTTTAACGGCATATAGCTGATCAACTTTAAGCCAATTTATCTCGGTTCATGTGAAAGATATTAAAAAGTGATTGACTAACACAACAACTGCCATATTACGCTAAAAATTTTATTAGTTGATCATTTTTTGATATCTGTCACAGGAAATGAGATAAATAAGTTTAACGTTATGTTACTGCGACAGCATAGCGAGATGTTTTTTACAGTCTCATGAACCTTTTCACTGTTTCAACTTTCTAAAATAACCAGCTTGCTTATTTCTTAAGTATTTTTTTTTGGTCAGTTCAATCTTTTAAAAAACACTTTCACTTGGTATAAACTTCAATTAAATTGAAAAGTCATGAACCGAGCTATTTATGATTTTTTGAAATTTTTGAATCTATTTATCTCGTTTTCTGTGAAAGATATTAAAAACTTGTCAACTGATAAAATGATGGTGGTATTATGACAAACATTTTGCTAGTTGACCACTTTTTGAGATCTGTCACAGGAAATGAGATGAAAAGATTCATGTTGACACTGTAAACGTCGGCTGTGACCGCGTTTTTCAGGCTATACTCACCTGGAAAATGTGCATTTCAGTCGGCGTGCTCATTCTCTTCCTATCCTCCCGGACAACGAACAACAAGACGTTGTTATAAGTCTCCCGAGAATCGTTGCTAACATGTGCTGTCGGCTGTTCGATGAGCTCCAATGGGAATTGCTCCACAAGCTCGCCACTTTCATCCTCGACAGTTACGGCGTGGTGTCGAAACCGAAGAATTAGAGGTTGTGCCCAGATGGCGGAGTTCTGGAAAGAAACAATCATTGTTGTATGGAATGCTGGACACTAGTTTGGTCAGGTTATACTAACATTTTGTAACAGAAATATTTTTCTCCATTCCAATTTTTTACATAGTTTAGTTTCTTTGAACAGTCGAAGTTTCGATTGTTAAGGCTTCATCCATGTAGACATACAGAATAGGAGTATGCGGAGTGTCGTTTGAGCTCAATTATCTCGTTTCCTATAGAAGATACCATAACAGTGTCTAGTTTGAAATTATCAGGGAACTAGTACAAACTGGAGATTTTAAGGAAGAAATGAAACGGAGAGGAAAGTGACAAACTATATTGAAATTAATTAAAAGGATGATTCGAGAAAAAATTGGTTATGAACACACACAAAATAACGGATCGGAGAGTTTCAAAAAATTTAAGATTATGGAAAAACGGAAACAGAATATTTTTTTGCTTGCCACTCTATACTTCCACTTGACGCTCAATTATTTCTGGTCCTATAAGAGATATCAAAAATTTGTCAACTGATAAGATATTGATGATATTATGATAAATATTTTATCAATTGACAGCTTCTTGATAACTCTCATAGGAGTCGAGATAATTGAGCTCAAATTGCATTCATTAGATCACTACAAAAAAAATTCAAAAGATTTAGAACGTTATTGAATCAGTATAAATAGAAATTCAGCTTCTCAAATTGAGCTTGAGTTAGTTTACAAATTTTGGATATCTTTTATAGGAACCGAGATAATGAAGCTCGAAGTGTAATTATAAGATTGCGTTGTATTAGGGCGTGCGAAGTGAATTTCAGACGTAACAATAAGAAGAATGCTAACACTACAATAAAATTTTTGAAGGCTTTGAAAAGTTGTTGAATCAGTAAATTTTTCAGATTCTTAATCTGCCTATACACTTCAAGCTAGCGATGAACCCTGAGGAACAAGACGCTGAGGAAAGGAACGAGAGCAAAATCAGTTAAAAATTATTTAAGGTAACAAACTTAAAGGTAGTACATGTTATTTAGGGTAAATTTGTAATTTAGGGTAAGGTAGATTTGAGCCTTCAAACATTTAAGGTAATACAAGGTAAACCCTATAACTAACCTTTTCCATCTGTTTAAGTTTCCGAATTCCATCAGCTGGGAAAGTGAGTCCAAATTGTCTTCCAACCGCAAAAGTGGCCAAATGCTCCACATAGTACGACGGAGTCACCTCATCTAACCGTGGATCGTTTGGACCACCATTACCGTAACCCATTGATGGGCCACGATGATCGGATCGTGGTGTCATTTGTTCGCTTCCGGTACGGTAGTCCGTGCGGCGGGCTGCAAAAAGGTTTCTATTATAAATATCCGTTGATTTACTAATCTATTAAACATATGTACCACATTAATGAAACGTAATGTTTTTGTTTGGAGAAAGAAATTTGTATTAGGGCGCATTTGCATTTTTTCTGTATTTTACGAAAAAATCCTCAATTGTACACCGGAAAAATTGAAGCACTTTCTATGAAAATTCTGAAACAGCAAAGTAAGTTCAGACCTAATCCCAGATTTTGACGGATTAGAAAATGATAAATAATGATAAGAGATTATTTTTCAAAAATTTGAATTGATGTTTGAATGGCGAGAAAATGAAATTTTCCTACAAAACTGGGGCCTTCGAGAACATTTAACAAAGAATCTCTAAATTTAAAAAAAGCTAGTGAAACAGGAAAAAAATTTAGTAACAAGAAACCGCAGAAAAAAATGGCAAAAAAGCCAACCAAAAACCGATAGTAAAAATTTAACGAAAAGAGAAGAATAAGAAAACTGCGAAAAAGTGATAAGAATTTTTTTTCGTTGATAAAAAACGAGCGAAAACGTACCGATTGGTTGCGACATTGGCGCTCCTCTCGGATGATGTGATGATGCGGACTGTTGACTGTGCGATGGAGATGGAGCCGGCTGGCCGGCGGTCGATGAACGCGAGTAGTAGTAGCCACCGGGTGATGGGCGGCTGAAAAATGTATTTTTAGAAGAATATGGGGTTCAAGTTAGCAGTAGTTTAGAAGTCACAAAAATTGAAGATGAACTATGTAGTACCGGTCAATAAACAGGACGTTTTACGAGCAACTTTGACTCTATTTATCTCGGTTTCTGTAAAAGATATCAAGAAATGGCGAGATGGTAAAATGTTTTTGATTTTGTAATGAACATTTTGCTAGTTAAACATTTTTGATATCTCTTACAGGAAATGAGATACAGTACCGGTCAATAAAATACAAAAACATATTTTTCAGTTGATTTACAGCCATTTTCAGAACTCTGGAGCTCGGCTGCCAAGTTGCCAACCACTTTGAAAATTATGAAGGGTATAAAACAGGCCTAGATTGGAAACTTTGCATTTACAGAATTTTGGAAAATTCCTAGTTTTTCTGCTATTTGCCGATGACTGAAAGACACTTTCAGTACAAAAAAACTGCCCAGCACACTCGTTTGATACTCAGCCAGCGGAAAAAGCGGAAGCCGAATTTCTCGGTCTAGTAAATCGCATTAATCGACTGTATTTTAAATAACAACAAAACTAAATTTCCCAATAAGCCCGAAAAAAACATTCTGACAATGAAACCGAAAAAATCAGTTTTTTAGGGAAAACAAGTTCTCGGGTCAATTTCTTTGAAAATTTGATACGAAATGATTGTGTTAAAGAACAAGTCATTGATAAACCGCATTTGAATCAAAATATTCAAATCACAAAGTGATTGAAACAGAAAAAAAAATGAGCTGTGGGCAACTTAAAAATATAACTTTCCGGAAGAATTTTCAAATTTTTCTGACTCTGCCCACCAAAAAACTTGGTTGGGTCTGTCTTTTTTGAGTCATAATGAATCACACTATTTACCGTCAGGTGGGAAGATACCTAATATCGATTGAAATTTAAAGAATTTGTAAAAAATTTGTTTCAGACAGTTGTTGTAAACTTTGAAGGCAATTTCTTCATGAAGGGATGTTTGTACGTTGATACGTTGTTAATTGAAAAAATTCAAAGAAATGAGGGTTCATGGAAAAGAACAAAAGGGGTACTGTAGGGGTACGGTATTTATAATTTTACACATAAAAGTTTATTGCGTTAGAATACCCCTGAAGGAATCGAACTTGTGGGTCAAATATTGAAGGTGCCGGGCTGCTACCAACTGAGCTACACGGTAGCAGCCGACAGTTGGTGGCGTGAAAGGTACTGTAGGGTACGTTACGGTAGAGGTACATGAGTTAGGTGTAAACACAGATTACTGTACACCAACACGTGAAAATGCAGACTTACTGAGCTCAAGCATCTTCGATCAACTAAAATCGACTAATTTTTTAACTCTATAGGCCCCGCACAACAGTAAAATTATTTACAAGCCAAACTGAAAAATTGTCTGCTTAAAACATTCCAAAACATTCCAGAAGACCAAAACACATACCAAAAAGAGACCCACCCAAAAAATTAAAGCGAAACTTTATAGGTTAATTTTCCCTCTCTCAAAGGTTATAAAATTCTCTCTCTTCGGCTGAATAATGGAATGTGCCATTCTGTGCCCTTATCAGTTTCTCCTTAAACATTGTGCATTGGGGTACTAACTGTGAAGCAGAGAAATAGTATAGATTTATCTTGAGACGCAGAGAAATTGGCGCCGTCGAGATCGGAGACTGCTGATGTACGTAACACTTTTTAGCGATCGTCGGTGTTTATCAGTTTTTGGGGGTTTTTGAGGAAAAGTTTGTTGTACATATACACATACACATGTACATAGAAAATTTTGTATATAAAAGAGTGAAATTAGTTGATTTTTGTGAAGTTGGAGGGATCTTCCCTCGGGAAAGGGGTGAAAAAGATCGTTGAGTTTTGGAATAAGACAAGATGTGCCGTACACAAACTAATACTTTAAAATTTTCGAAAAATATAAAAACCAAAAGAAACTGAAAATAAATTTACCTCATTTAGTTCATAAAAAATCAAAACTTTGTTCAAAATTTTCGTTTTTTCGGTAGTTTTTTTTATTGGAAGGTAAAGACATTTGGATCATATTGAATGAAAGCCGATTACGGAAATGTTTACAAAACTGTTCGAAACAGACAAAATATTGTCTATCAGGATTTCGATTTCTTATTTTCTTTTGAAGTTTTAACTCTTCAAAACTTTTCCAGACTCTACTTCAACGAGAATTAAGAAGTTCTGAAGCCGCTGACTTTTTGACACCTCACGATCTTCTTATAATACTTTGGATCCTTAAAAACTCTTTGAAACTTGTAATATTACAATTCATTAGCCGTATTTCATTGGTCATAAATTTCGTTAGTTTTAATTAAAAGTTATTGGAACAGAAAAAAATCGATGAAAAAAGAAAATTTTCCAATTTTAGACCCTAAAATCTGGTATCCAAAATTTAGAAGTATATTTCGCAGAGAATCAGTTGCTTAATGATCTTAAAAAATTAATGAACTTTTTGAAACGGGATATTCACTTTTAACTTTTAAGTTAAAGTACATATAATCATAAATCTCAAAAAAAAACTTTCTGTTCCAACATTTTCATGAAGTCAAACGAATTTGAAAGATAAATAATAAGACGCATATGTGTGCTATGAGAAATGTTTTCCAACTTCGTGATTACAGAATTTCTAGAATGAAAATTGTCCAAAAACGGTAAATTCCAATTTTCAAAGTTTCTGCTTGTCTCGTACAGCATCTTCTTGTAATACTTCAGAGCTTTGAAAACTTTTTGAACCAGAAAAAGTTTTAAATTTAAATTTTCTAAACTTCGTTAATTGGTCATAATTCCACTAGTTATTATTGAAAACGATTTTGAAACAGAAAAAAAATTTTAAAAAAGGAAAAATGTTCAATTTTGGACCCCAAAAGCATCGGATCCAAAACCTGGAATTTTTTCAATTTTGAAAAAAAAATCACTTTTAAACTTTCTATCGTTCGAATGGTTCAATAAAAAAACCATTAAAGCCTAAACAACGTTTTTGAAACGGAATTTTCAATTTAAATGACCTAAAATTATGATTTTTTTTCCAAAAAATTCTGCTTCAACATTCTCATTAATTCAAAAAAATTTTGGGTTTAATAATGCGTTCCCAATATGTCATACTTTTTTACAAAAAAATGTGCCCAAGTCTCTAGGATACTAAAAATGTCCAAAATGAGAAAACCACACCCACATTCAGAAAATGGATTGAAAAATGGAGAATTTGGAGGTGTGGTTAATGAGAAAAAGATAACGATCATCTCCGGAAGGGGTCAGTCACCCAAAATTAATGATGTCCCATTATTTTTATTTCAACCTAGGTGGTCGCAAAAAGTTATAAATCTTATTGAAATGAGAGGATAATTGAACTGATTGATTGATTTTATTGAATGGTGATAAGAGACTTAAGGAAAAATGCTGGAGAATACTTGGAATAAAAAGTTAGAGTTTATATGGAATAATGGAAACAGGAAAAATTTGAACTAAAGGAGAACACTTTTAAAAATTGAACTTGCAGGGAAATGCACACAAAAGGACAAAATCAGAAAAATTCCAGAATCAAAGTTTGATATGAAATCGATGAAACAGAAATTCAGAAATTTATTGAAATTTTTTAATTTTCGAAACTCCAAACAATGTTAGATTTTTTGAATTTAATCATTTTTTAGGCTAACCAAAAGAGTTCTTCATTAAGGATTAGAAGGTTCTTTTTGGCTGATGCGGGAATTTTGAAACTGGATTTTCAGCGGCTTCATAGCTTTTTTATTCTAATTATTTCGGTTCCTGTAAAACATATCAAAAAGTGGTCAACTAAAAACATTCTGGTGATTTTATGAAAAACATTTTATCAGTTGTCAGATTTTTTTTAAATCTTTCACGGCAGTTAAGATAATTCAAGTTAAAGGTAATAGTGCGTCTGTAATAGTTAACGCTCTCAATCAGAAAATATCAGGAACAACATTTTTTAATGAAAGTGGTGCAACAGAATTTTTATTTGTTTTTTGGGTACTGGTTTTCGGAAATGTGTAGCAAATGAGATGTAATTTTGACTTTCAGCTAGCTTTTAATGAAAAATAGGGAATTCTCTATAAACTACCAGAACTAGAGAATTTGAACATTTTTCGAAAAAAAAAAGTACAAAAATGACTAGAAAACTGAAAATAATTTTCATTCAGTTCAGTTATAGAAAAAAAATATATCTTCTCAATTTCTCTCTAATAGAGTAAATTATTGTTTCCAAAGAAATTATCATGGAGGTTCCAATTTTCGAAATATTTAATCATGCTGGATCATTGCGACGTCACAAATACTATCTCAAATCACTTATCAAAAACTCAACAAAAAATCTTCTCAATTTCTCTCTAATAGAGTAATCAGATGTTGGAACTCTTTACCCGCCAAAGTGTTTCCGGTGAAGCCCTCGTCAGCGGCTTTCAAAAATCGACTATTATCCTGTGATCTAAAACATTTTCTTGTCTTGAATTCAACTAATTACTAACTCGGGTTTTCCTTCATCTCCCAATTACTACAAATGTATGTTCCTGTTATATCTCCTAGTTTCATAGACATTTCACGTGTTAGTGGTTTTCTCCCCTTCGTTGAAATAAATAAATTAAAAATTAAAATTAAATAGTGGATTTTCAACCAAAACTGGAAAAATTACACAACGAATCAATTTAAAATCTGTCGAAACTGAAAATTTTCAATTTCCAAATTTCGGTCCATTTCTCTGAAAATCTTTTGTTTCGCATGCATTTTCATCATAGAAACTCAACTTTACTAATGTTTTTTCAAAAGTTTCATAACTTTTAAACTTTTTGAAACTGTAAATTTTTAATTTTCAGTCAATTTTCGAACATTCGTTTTCCAAAAATAAATCGATTGACCACTAGTTAGAGACCGAATCGTATTTTTTTAGAAATTTCAAAAGCTTTTAAACTTTTTGAAACATAAATTTTCTAGTCTTAAAATTTTACAGTCACTTTTTTGAAAGCTTTTTTTTCCTGCAACCTAAAGAGCAGTGTTTTTTCAATAAATTTCAAAACCTTTTTAACTTCTTGAAACAGTAATTTTAGTTCTCCGATTTTCAGTCAACTTTCTCAATAAGCTACTGTTTTTTCCAGAAAGTTCCAAACTTTTTACAACTTTTTGAAACAGCAACTTTAGATTTTTTGAAAAAACTGAAAAAGTACTCACCTCTGATATGGGTCACCTCCAGGTGGACCCATCGATCCACCTCGACGCATCATTTTTATTGAAATTCGCTCCTTTTTTCGATTTCCAGATGTTCTTTCTTCCAAAAAAAAGTGACAGTAGTTTCAGACAAGTTTCATATCATGAATAGTCTGAAAAATGGAAGTTGAGCTGGTTGTTTTTTTGATGGATGAGCTGAAAACAATTGAAAAATATAAGCGGAGATTAAAAAAAAAGTAAATTTGGAAAAAGTATCATAAAAAGAGGCTAAAAATTCTAAAACATAACAGAGAGGAAACAAAAAATATGGAAACAGTTACATGGAACGTAACAAAGAATCAAGGACAATAAGATAGTGTACAAGATTTTTGAAACAGAAGATTTTAGAGTTTTTAAGAAAATTTAAAAAAATTGAATCCCAACTTTAATGAAAATAGCTAGAAACTATTTTCTTGAATATTCTGTAACAGAATACAAATTAATTTTCATAACTCTAAATAGCTTAATGAGCTTCAAAAAAAATGAAAATATACAATTTGAATTTCAAAAAATTAGTTGTAAAAAATGGGCCTTCTAACTTTGAAGTTTATCTCGTTTCCTTCAGAAGATATCAATGAGTGGTCAACTGATAAAATTTTTGTGATATTATGATAATCATTTTATCAGTTTACAACTTTTTGATATCTTTCACTGGAAACTAGAAGAATAGAGTCCAAAATAGGGAACCCTTTTATTAGAGATTTCCTAATCAAAACTTCAAAATTACAGTAGTTTATAGATGTTTTATTGGAATGTGTCTCGATTCTAAAAAATAAGCGAATTTCCGTAATAAAAAAAGTATTCTACTGTTTTTTCACAGTTTCAAAACTTCGAGAAAAATTCATTTGCTACAATCGTAACAGTTTTCTATTGATTTGAAAATTAGAACAAAAGTTGAGAAAGAAAAAAGAAGGTTCAATTTCTTCGTCTCGTTGGGGCGAGGAAAATCAAATCAAATCAGAAAAATTTGCCCAAAGAGAAAACCCACAAATATTACATATAAACGAATTCTCAAACTTTTTCCTCCTCCCAAAATCCATCAATCTTCTTCTCCTTCTTCTTTTCTTCACTATTGGATACGCCTAGGGCGTATCCAAGAAAAGTGAACGAAACAAAAAACAGTATAGGAGAAATAGTGAGAGAAGTTGAGAGACGCAGAGATGAGGAGAGACAAAAAACTGGTTCGAGGGATATATAAGAAGAAGGTAAAGATTGATAGATGAGAGAGAGAGAGAGAAAATGAGAAAAATGAGGAAAAAATAAAGAGTATTCAATAAATATTCTTCAAGAAAAATATGATAATTTTAAAACTGAAAGTTTCCTATTTTCCCACCCTATCGATTTATTTACTGTCCTTGAAAACTGTCTAATTTTTTCGTATTTGCCAGAACTAGAGCTCCATTTTCGTAGTTTAAATTGTTGAATACCTACTTTAGTTTCTGAGATATGCGCCTTCAAATTTTAACACTAAACAATAGGGTGCGGGCACTTTTAAAGGCGCATATCTCAAAAACTACTGTAGGTATTCAAAAAGTACCAAAATTACAGCTAATAAGATTTTACACAGTTTTGTAGTTGACAAATTTGTTCTAGCTTTTTTTTGGTTTTTGAGATATTTAGCAGTTTATATGCATGTCCCATGAATCAATAAAACTGTGAATAATGAACTGTTAAAAACTTGCTGAAACCATACTTGTAATCCGGGCCTTTGCCGGGCCTTCGCGGGCCCTGCCATCACTTCTTTCAGAATCAATGTTTTCGAACCAACTCAATCAGAACGGCATTAATTGCAATACTGTATCTTATCTATGAATAAAGTTACAGATCATAAAGTGGCATTTCTCGCAGGGCCCGGCAGGCCCGGGGCGGGCCTGCTTTTTTTTTGCTCCTTTTGCTCTGTAACTCTGTCCATAGACAAGATACAGTATTCCAAATAATACCGTTTTGTAGTACTCGTGGAGCTCTATCATACCTAAT